TGGATGCTCTCCAATAGCTCTGTATCTTCCTTATGTTATGGTGCCAGAACTGCACACAGTAGGTGTGACCTGCCCACACTTAGGAATTTGGAAAACAACTTTAAGATCATTGAGTCCAACCACAAGCCTAATACCATCAAGTCCACCAATCCCTGCCTGCAGTGGCCTTTGATGCAGCAAATCTGCAACCATGGTGACCCTAATCCAACCCTACGTGTCACATCTACACAGCCAGGAAGAGCACTGTCAGCTGCCACAGGCACTGCTGGTTGTTTTAGAGCCCTCCAGGGATGGTGACTCTACTGCTGCTGTGAGCAGTGAAAGGGTGTCAGTGCCTGACCACCCTTTCTGTGAAGATGTTTTTCCTAATATGCAACCTAAACGTTCCTTGAGGCTTCTTGAGGCAATTTCCTCTTGTCCTGTCACTGGCTCCTGGGGAACAGAGCCAGACTCCCACCTGGCTGCATCCTCCCGTCAGGGAGCTGTACAGAGCAAGGTTACCCCATGAGCCTTCTTTTCTTCAGGCTGAACGCCCTCAGCTACCTCAGATGCTCCTCATAAAACTTGTGCTCCACACCCTTCCCCAGCTCCATTCCCTTCTCTGGACACACTCTAGCCCCTCACTGTCCTTCCTACAGTGAAAAGCCCTGAAACTGACTTCAGGATTAAAGCTGCAAGTTTCACCAGTGCCCAGTAAAGGGCAATGGTCACTGCCCTGGGCATGTGACCACACCATGGCTGATGCAAGCCAGGTGCCATCAGAGTTCTTCATCACCTGGGCTCATGTTCAGCCACTGTCAACCAGCATCCCCTGGTCCTTTCCTGTTGGGCACTTTCCTGTCATTCTTCACACAGCCTAGAGCATTCCATGGAGTTGTTGTCACTCATGGGCAGGACCAGCACTTCACCTTGTTAACCCTCATACCACTGGCCTCGGCCCATCAATCCAGCCTGTCCAGATCCTTCTGCAAAGCCTTCCTGCACAACAGCAGATAAACACTCCTGCCCAACTCAGTGTCATCTGCAAGCACTCATCACTGCAACTGGTCAAAACAACAAATCTACAGTTTTTCATCTTCAAAGACACCACAAAATCCACAGTAGTCCCGCAGTTTAACTCAGACACTAGTTATAGTGTTTTCTGTCTTTACCTATGTTATATTACCACTGTTATATTCCTATTAGAATTCAAACAAATTCCCACAGTATCAATTCCCATATTGTTGCAAGGGAGTTGTTCTGTGGGCTATTTTTGTTTATTTGTTTGGGCGGGCTGTTTATTTTTTAGTTTAGTTTAGTTTTTTTAATTGTTAACACATCACCTTCTGGGATCAGGAAACAATCTTAAATGAAGGTCTCAGAATTGTGGAGAAAACTTCACAAAAAATGAAGAATATTCAAAGTGGTGGGAAGTAGAGATCAAGAACTTTGGAAAAACTTCAGTGTCTCAAGAATTAACAGAAAATCCAACCCACAATTTTCTGATGTTAACATATCACTTTCTCCACACAAGGGAAATTAAGCAACTCCCCCAGCTCCCCCTATAAAGAAGAAAAAATACCAAAACCACGAGATCCTCCCCATCCTCATCCCTCCAAAAAACCCCAAACAAATAAGAAAAATACCCCAAAAATAAGGTCTTCGCTTTATTAGAAGACTATTTGGAGATCTTTACTTTGCCAGAAGTAGAATTTGGTTTAATCATCATAGTGCGTGTAAGCCCTGCTCTCCCTTCCTCCCCACTCCAATTATTAGCAACTGCATAATAAAACCAATGACAACACCGGAATGTTGGTGACTCACTCACAAAAAAACCCAGAACCGTGATTAAAGGTATATCACAGCAGCTGATTATTTATTTTTTTTTATTAAGACAAGCCTTTTTTTATAGTAAGTCAAGTCTTTCAGGAGGCAAGCTTTGCTTTGTGAGTCCCTTCCAACTCAGAATATTCTGATTCTGTGATTCATTTTCAATAGCTAACAAGAAATGGAAATGCTCTCATTTGCTCAAATGCTCTCACCTGGCCAATTTTTAGTATGTGCAACTTCTTTAAATTGTGCTTCCAAATAAAATGCAACAGGTTCCCCATAACCATTGCAGATACTGAGATGCTGCTTTTCTTTTTTAGATACTCAAATAGGTGTTAAATGATGCAAAAAAGAAAATGCATACAAAATAAATCAGTACTTTCATTTGCCACATGAAACCAGTAGTTTTTATGGAAGGATCCTTGTTAGTGGCAGGGAAGCCTAGATTTCCTACATGGTCAGCAGTTACTTACCTCAGTGTACTACAGAGGCATACTAAGAATCGTGCAATGTAAAACTGAGGTTTCAGACAGTTAAAGTGTCTGAAGTGAACCTTCAGTAATCCTAAAGAGAGTTCCATCTTCAAGAAAAAGCATGGAACTATCCATGCTGATCCAACCTGATGGTAATAATCATATGTGTAGGCACACATGCTTCAGTCCACCTACCTGCATCCCAGCCATAATTGCACGAAACACCAAGTACATCTCTGTGCAAATATTTTATTCCCCAGCTAATTAAAAAGACCAAAAAAAATTAAATTAAAAAAAAATCACACAGAGTAGCTGCTTCAATCAAACTTTTTAAGTGAGGAACATAAGGAGAGGTTAATTTTATCAAGCATGATTAAACCACTAACAAACCTCAAGATAGGATTAGTTAGCATCTTTCAAGCATTTCCTTCCTCCTAACATCTCTCTACTCTTGCCTCAATCAAATCTTGCTACTTTCTTCTGTGTTTTGAGCACTGAGCAGCGAAAAAACAGGTTCCACCAGCTGTTAAGATGAAGACGACACAACTAGCATCCCAGTAGTGTTCTAGTTTCCCTACATATATCAAATGAAGGTTGTACAATTGACAGACATCACTCAGGAAAACAAGTAAAATAAAACTCATAGGTAGAACAGCAGTCTGTCAGATGCCCAGATAAAGTATACAGGTAGGACAAGAAAGCAATCAAAACTAGTTGAATACTATCCTAGTTTCCAGCTTTGTGGAGACTGGGGTTATTCACCTTGATACCACTGGTGATTTTACAGACTTGCAGTGCACCTACCTCCTCATTGCTCCATCTGCTGTCATGCTCGAGTCGTTCCTGAACAATTCTAGTACCAGAGATGCACCAGTTTTGCCACACCTTCTGATCAAAGCTGCAGTTCCTGTCCCCAAGCAAGACAGCTTGTTCATGGTAATATTCTGCTCAGAGACTGACCCACCCATCTATGCAGGTGAATATTAGCACTAGCATGAGAGAAGCACATTATATTAATCCTTTGACTATACTGCCACTAATGCATCACCATAGGATGCTTTTTCTTTCCTTATATCAAGACTATTTCATATGTGTAATGATCTCCATTGCTCTTCCTCCACCTCCCTGATTAGCCCAAACACAGTGCTGCATGCTACCCAAGGAAGAGTCCAGAACTGCAATAGAGAACAGAGTACTCAAATTTGGACAAAGAAAGGATTAATATAATGGCATAATGTGGTCTTTTATTCTGCCTTTCATTCCTTAAGTGATAATTCCTACTACTCTATTTACTTTTTTCTTTCACTACATCTTGAACTGACTTTTCAGAGTACCATGCAGTGACTCTCAGATGTTTTCTTCCCCAGATGCTGCAGAAAAACATAGAAATGCCATTGCTTTTGTATTCCTGGTAACACAACATGCAATAAGAGCAGCTAAAGAATTACTGAAGCTATGCCAAAAATATGCTTACTTTGCTACTGAACACAATGTTTATGAAAACCAGGACAAACAGTAGCTTAGAAGAGCAAGGAAATACAGCAAAACAAAATAAATCAGCAAAGCAGTTTACACGACAAAAAATATTCACTGACACAAATATGGAACAAGTAATATTGTTTCTGAAGTGACTAAACATAAATACTTTACTACAGAACACAAAAGAAGAGAAGTTTATTTTAACCATTTGTAAATTTCTTCTCAGTATCCTCAAGAGCAAATGTGGGAAGAGGAAGAAGGTAAACACTCCCAAGTATCCATCAATTTTACAGTACAGTCAGCACAAGTGTAAGCACATGGAAAATTTTTATAAGCACATGGAAATATTTGAGTTATTTTTCATTTTAAAAAATAAAACTTTTGACTTCATAGTATAGAAGGAGTTGTCAAATAATTTTGGTAAACCATGTAAACTTTGCTTCTTAACTCTCCATTATCTAGAGTTTGATTACTCTTTTCAGAGGGCTTTCAGGTTACTTAAAAAACCCTCTAATCTGATCCTGTTCTGTCTGCTGTGATGAAACAGTATGTGAAAAACACAGGCTTATCACAAAGTCAGGTCAAAACCTAGGGAGTGACTGTTAGCTATCACGCAAGTGTCAGGAGAGCTTAAATATTTTCTCTGGGCATAAAAAAATCTTGTAAGTAGGCACAAGAGACCGGCAAGGAAAGAGAAACCTCATGAGAAGCAACAGCTCTGCGCTCCAAGATCTCCGGATGAATGAGGCCCGTGCAGCTCTTACCAGTTCGTCTGGTGCTCGCAGGGGATTAAATTGCGATTTCCCGCTGCCAGTCACTGCCTACAGCAGTAACGCTCTGAGACCGCCGAGAAAAAGTGACCCAACTCCGTACGCCTCCGCAAAGTCTGCCGGGTCCGAGAGACCCGGCGGTTCTAAGGCTGAGCCCACTTCTCCTTTCCCTCCAGAGCCCTCAACCTTCTAGCACGAGCGACACTGCAGCCGCTCCCGGTTTCCCACGCCGAAGGGGAACGGGCAGCACCGACGGACGGCGGGCACAAACCCAGCCCTCCGCGAAGGGACCCCCGCGCTCCCTCTGCTCGGCCGGGCCGGGTCCACTTCTCCGCTCCGGGCAAAGGCTGCTGTGGCCAGCTGAGCTCGGCGCTGCCCTGCCCGGCTCGACACGTCCCCACTCACCCGCCTGGCTCCGCACGGCGCGGCCCCGCTTCTCGCTGCCTCCGTCACTGCCGCGCTACGCCACTTCCGGCCCCGCCCCGCCCGCGACCTCCGCAATTGCTCCTGCTTTGGAATCTACCTCTTCCCAAGAATCGAGGGTTGTTTGGAACGGACTTTAAAAATTATCTAGTAAATATCGTCTTCACTCAGACAGTGTAAAAATAGACCTATTGCCTCAAAAAAGGGCGATGTTGGAAAGATGGCTGTAGCTAGAATGCTGACAGCAGAGAAATTTCAGAGTTTTGTCTCAGCCTTTTGACACGGAGTACAAACACTCCATTCCTGTATATCTGACAGGTGAGTCTGCCTTGTGTGTGACACTGACATAATGTTGCCTGATACCGAATTGCAACACAGGCTATTTCAGATCAGGCGGGCGGGAAAAACACATGACAAAGTAGACATAGGAAGTAGCCATAGGAAACTGCAGGTTCTAAAACCCACAAGAACTGCTGTCACACAGCTAGAATTTGAATTTGCCTCAATTCAGGCTGGACAAGGTCATGGACAAGCTTTTCTTTCTTGCTATGACAAAATGTGAAAGGAGCCAAACATGAAAAAATAAGACATGTTGCAGGTTAGATAATTAGGTAGATAATTACAATTTAAGGTGATACATTCTTACAGCATCTTCAAGTATTTGCAGCCCAAAGAGTAAACAGTACCTCTGTGGTTACACCTAAGTGAATTACCTGTATAACGTAGAAAAAAAGGATGCCAGATCCTTTTCATTCAAGCCCTACCTCAACACATCTAGCACTGACATGTGACATTTGGGAAGTCTCTCCAGCTAACCCATTGTAATTCAGTTACTGTCACCTCTAAATTAATTTCCTGGATTCCACAAATTAGGGACATGAGAGCACATGGGACACACTACTAATATGTTCTGAGAAAAGCTTTTCAAAGGTATTACAAGCACATGCAAGAAGCCACATCTATCTAAAAATCAAAGGTTGCTGCTCTACTGTGTAAGAGTACCATCCTGTGTAATACTGAAATGCACACAGTTCTGAATGTTCACACCAGCGTGGTTGCTCTGCCCCAGAATAGGACTCAATGGAAGCTGCAGACACTTGCATGGAATTCGTTCCCAGCTAATAAATCATGCAAACAATCACAAATACATGACATTAACCTTGAAGCTTTTAGATGTGCTGTAGTTTTGTTTTATTCATGTTATCTCCTTGTGCTGGTTTTGCATTAATTGCATTAATATCCTGACTAATTATAAGTTTTTCAGTTTATTTTTGCACTCTTTTTTAAGTTTGTAATAAGCAGGAGCAACAGAATTGCTATGTGCAATATAGGTACAAAAGCAACCAATGCATTTTGTTAAAAGTAGGCTCTGATATTTTTGGCCCTTACTGATTCCATTGGAGTACTTGGCATCAGATGGGGCAGATTTTTCCATCATCTGAAGAAGAGAAATAATAAAATCTTTTGCTTAAAGGATATACTTTCATTCAACAGCTTCCTGGAACAATTGTGCAGATTTCCTGTGTAATGGTAGAGGGCAGACTACATAATCAGAACACCACCTTTAACTTCAAAAACAATAAATGTATCACCTGGTCCCAGAGACTGAGCCCACAGGTAAGGTATTGCAGCAAGCTTCAGTCTCGTAATACAGCTACAAATTTTCCTAAAACATTCAATGTTTTAGCTTCAGAACTATTCACAAGACTCTCTGATGTGCTGCTAGAATTTTAGTGGTTATCATTTTCAGTTCAGTTCCTATGTGGAACAAGAGAATGTTTTTCACCTAGGAAAAACTCTGTTCAGACCCATTTCTTACAGGGGAAAAAAAAAAAAAGATCAGGAAGGAAGATGTTTTGACAAACCATGAAAATGCAACTTTATTTCAGGGTATGTGGCATTTACAATTACTTTGCTCTGTGCAACACTGTTGCTAATGTAAACATTAATTAAACCGAGAAAATTACAATTGAATAGCTGTATTTGAAAAGACACAGAAAAGCAAGGTACAAAAAAATGTCAGGTGTGGTTGTCATCATCTAACAAGGAGAGGTTAGGGGTGATTGGCACACATCTCTACTCATAAAATAAAAATTCAGGCCACCAGGGAGAGCACCTTTATTTTAAATCTTCGGTTAATTCCATATGGAAAAATCAGGTGCTTCTCCAACAGGGAGCTAACTGAAAGCAGCTCCAAAACGCTTTGATTGAACTTTGCTTCTCTCTCCATACTCCCTATTATAGAGAGCATTCCTCATTTTTGGAGACACAGACTAATCATTTTAAGGTTCTCTTCCTTGTCCTTCCTTAATGCAATGCCCCTGGATCTCTACATTTCTCAAGTGTGTCACTGCAGTGATGTTCACAGATGGTTCACATACAGAGAATAAGGACCTGAGAGGACAAACTGTCCACATGGCTTATCCAAGAACAGAAGGCTCATAGGTATCACAAACATGGTATAAAACCTGATGACCAAAGTCCATCATCTGGATTGTATCCTGAATGTATCAATTTACTCACCAAACATTAAATACAGACTCCATCTATTTTCAAAAGCAGAAAATGCTAGACATTATCAGAATCAACAATAAATACCCAGCCAGATCAGCTCTGTAACTTCTTTCTACATTCAGGGCCACCTTGAATGGGAAAAAGATGTCAAATGGGAGTTTCCAGTGCATTTGGGGCTGGTCTCGTGGAGGTTCTGGCCAATCTGTCATGTCAGTGAAGGTAACAACAGTTGACACAGGTACCATGCTCATGTTTAGAAACTGCAACAAGAAGGAAAGCAAAAACAGTTTAGCAGTTTTAATACAAAAGGCATACCCTCCTCAGTTTCCTAATGGGGACTCACTGTAGATGACTGGCAAGCATGATGGCTTTGGGATTGTAGGAGTTGTTGTCCTAAGTTTTCAGAGGAGTAAGCCCTCTTTCCCCAAACTGAAATTTAGCAGGTACATTGAGGGTGTAGTAAAGACCAGTAGCTACCAGGCATCATATGCTACAGATCTCCAAGCTGGCAGCAGTGACTCCAGCTGTGCTACAGTAAGCCTTCTACTCAGAGGAAAGTTAGTAATAAGAACACATGCAAGCAAGATTATTTTTTGTTCATAAAAGATCACTTGGCTCTTTGGACAAGTGCTTGCTACCAGAAAGAACTGCCACAAGATGCAAATCCTATCAATAAATGTCAATAAATTAAAGCAGGGACCCAATACAATAATAAATTTATTGCTCACATTTTAGGATGGTGTTTCAGGAAGGAGACAGAACAGTGAAGATCAAACAGGGGACTAAACCTCTAAGACCTCCGTTCTTTTCTGTTTTAACAGAATGCCTCAAGAAAACTAATACACTAGCTCTTTGAGCTACATGGAGTTTCATGGCTACCTCGGGCTGATTTAAGACCATGCTGCTGCCAAAAGAGCAACTGCCCCTGCCTCACTTCCCAGCTCTGCATGCTAACATTGAGAGGGCATTTACCAGCAGCATGCCTTCTTGTTAGCACTGATTTAAGCCATCCCGTGAAATTGCCACCTCATTCACTTCCCTGAGAAGAATTTCAAAGATTGCCTTTAGAGCAAAATTCTGTAGGAAGCATTCAAAAAATTGGCAAGAGTGCTCATGACTCTTAAGACAAAAATACTGTGACTGCTTATTGGGGAACTTCTGTGGTATTCCTCAAGGTGAATTAAAAAATATTTCTGTGCTTAAATAAAAAAGAAAAATAAAATGAACAATGCATTGGGTACAGTCCTGGTTCTATATGGAGTCTACAAAAAGGCACCATGAGCAGATTCCTTGTGCACCTTTGTACTTGCAGCAGCAGTCCTGAGAGCATGGGGCACTTCAGCCAGCTGGGGTCCATCCCCCAGGCTTGCTCTGCTGCCCAAAGGTGGCCCCTGAGCAGTTCCCATTCCAGAATGACTACAAGAAAATGCTGAGGCTGTTTGTTCTCTCATCACCTGGAAACTTCACTCACTTGCAATGTGTCCAAACATTCCTGCTTCCAGCAGTTTAACCCCTCAGTGCTCTCCATGCCAGATCAGCCCTTGATCACAACTCACCACTGCTGAGCAGTTTACAAGTAGAATTTCCCCAACACTTCTGATGGATGTAAATTCTCCTATCAATGAGTAAACACACAATAGACCAAACTGCCCTAGTCAACAAGAAGCCTCAAGATGATTGATTTAAGTGAACCTTCAAAAACTGCCTTAAAATCAGAGAGATTAGTGCAGGGGAAAAAAAAGCCTTAAACAACCCCTCCTGAACAGAAGGGAGAAGGCAACCATCTGCAATTTCCAGCATGCTCTTGTAGAGCTCTACATCATTTTAAAATGTCCAGTATTTTCATGAAGTCCAAATACAATTGTGATTAGATATTGTGGATGGATGTGGAAATCTGGGTCTCTTCCCTGGGTTCTCTGTTTTCTAGTCAGTTAGTTAGGCAACTTTCCAGTGGTGCAGTGTTGTCTAAATAAAAAAAAAATAAATCTCTAAAGAGTAATTAAAGGAACTGAAAGATAGTTCTCAGAGAGAGAATCTGTAGGCTAAAGCTGGGAAGTGACATAATTTGAAAGTAATGTGCAGCCTAGTATGCTTACAAATAGCTGCAATTCGTAATTGCTGGCTATAGAGCAAGTTGGTCCTTTGCTAAAATGTCTTTACTAAAAATCTGAATTTGTGGATTGTCACTGATGAAGTCAGTACTGATTTTAATGGCACGGGCTTTTTTTGCTGCCAGAAGCTTGCTTTCTTATAATTAGCTTTGCAATATACTTTAAAGCTCTAAAGTAATTTGAATCAGCTGCTCAAGCAAATCAAATCTGAATCTCATTCTTCTTGATTAGCTGAAGGATTTGCACCCTGCACTTCTACTAGGAATGCAAGTCGTCTTCCTCAGACAGAAATTTTGTTAATGAAGCTGTGTAACAGGTGATTTAAAAAATATTTTCATGGAGCGGGGATATCAGCTTGCCTCAGGGTAATATGAGTTTTACTCATATTCCTATCCTCTTCTCTTCATGTACTTTACTTTGCAAGAAGGGACAACAAAGGGGTACTACGAGATGCATTCAAACAAGTGTAAAATCTCATTTAAATTGAGTCTGAAGTTCACACAGTGTTAACAGATCAGACAGAAACTTTCCATTCCATATCTCAGAGCCATGAAGCCCCTAAAGCCCTTACAGAGAAGTGTAAGCCTTGAAATGTATCTGCTGCCTAAAAGACTATGTGACATCAAAAAAAAAAAAAGACTGACACATGCTTGAAAAAGGCTGCTCTGCCCTCTGTGAACATTTTAGCTGATAAATTCCTGCTGACATCACAGTCACAGAATGGTCTGGGCTGGAAGGGACCTTTAAAGGTCACCCAGGTTCAAGCCTCTGCGATGAGCAAGGATGCCTTCAACTAGACCAGGTTGCTCAGAACTCCATCCAACCTGGCTTTGAATACCCTCTCTCTGGCTTACAGCCTTCCTCCCCAATTCTCCAAATATGCTGCCATCAGCATTAGTCACTTCCTCAGCTACCTGTTGGTGATTTCAGAATCTCTAGAAGAAGAGAAGTATCTTCTTGCACAGATTATCAGCATTCTGTGAAATCTGTGAAATACTATTCAACTCAAATTTCCTATCAAGGCTTTAAGAGACTAAATAAACATGGAGTTACGGAATGTTTTTAACTTTATACCAACCATAACTGAAAGTTTAAAGACCGAGTCCTTAAGTGGCAGAAAGTGGTTTAGGGTTGGAAAGAAGGTACCTTTTCCAGTTATGCAACTGAGTGAGGACAGCACTGAAAGGACCACAAAACAACATTCCTCTACAGAAGGCTACCATTGCAGCCAGACAACTGCTAAAATTCAACAAACCTCAACTTAGTTTCAAGACCATTTGATTCCTTGGTTCTTTAATAAACTGCAAACCCCCTTTAATTACCTCTGTGTGTGAGGGAGGGCTTTTAATTCCATACCTTGAAGGGGTGACACTGGTAGAAATGCCGTGCACCCAGTATTTGAGCTTGTGGGTTGGACAGGAGGCCCACTCTAGTCCACAATATCTGTATCTCCAGGGTCACAGGAACCACACAACAGGAAGTGCAATTCACAGCCTGAAAATAAAATATAACCTAATCAACTGAATCTAGTGCTTGAAAAGTAATAAAGGACCATTACGGTCGAAGTCCAATATTTTGGATAATATAGGTCACAGAATCTGAATCAATCACTTTAGCACTAACTCCATGACTTCTGGTCAGGTCAACCACACATCTTGGAGCTACATCCATGTCACTGCCATCTCAGTTCCAATTAGAATTTGTCTCAGCTTTACCACTTGGATTTCACATTCCACTTAGCCATCCCCCCACAGATTAACAATTATTACAATACAATTGGCTCACAAACTTTAACCTTATTAGGTAATATAATAGGATATAAATAGCCCTACAAAAATATTCCCTAATCTAGAAAAGCAGAAAGGATTATAATAATAATTAATCAGAAGTAACCAGCTACTATCAGTTCCAAAAGGCTGTCAGAAAACTATATCATGGAACACTGGATTCAGTATTTAACTCTTTTTGCCCATTTAAATAGCAGGAACAGGATTCAAGAGATAGGAAATCTGTCAGGATTTGTTGGGGGTTTTTGAGTGGTTTTTTTGTTAAGTACTCTAATAATATGAACCATAATGACTGCTTACACGTATCAAGATCCCTGTGAATCACAGGATCATTATACAACAAGAAGTCCAAGAGACCCCCACCTCCCTGAGTCAGCACAAAGATATGAAAGGAAAAATATTTACAGATGGTCTTTTTGCATTCATATTACCTGCACACTGCAGTTCTGAATCAGAATGGTCATCCACTCTTCTGCCTGGGTTGAATGAGCATTGCCAGTTACAGCAAAGTCTCCTGTTCTGTTCATCCCTTGAAAAGCCTCGTATAACTTTTGCTGCATGTAACTACAGTTACTGTCTTCCAGTATTGGGGATAGGCTGGAAATGAGAAAACAACACCTCTTACAAAGTGATTTCTAGGACAAAAAAAAAAACAAACCCAAAACACTACCAACATCCTTTCTCTGCAATAAGTATTTCTTCTGCTCTTATATGAGTAAACAAGTAATGGTATTAACAGATGCAGTTTCAAGCCTCTCTGCAATGAGAAAGGAGAAAAATATGGAAGGGTAATAAGAAAACTGGCAGCTCTTTAGCTATCTTATCGCACCAGTGGTCCTACACCTGCCCTGTCAAAAGAACAATCCAAATCATCAAAACAACCACTTTTTAAGATTTACTGCTCAGCTCTACTCTTGCCCAAGACATATTGTCAGACCAGAGCCTCAAAATGTTCAAGAGGACCTTCACAATATTCAGATTATTCCAGCAGTCCACCATCTTTCCTATATTTAAGTTCTCTTAGGAGTATATGAAAGATCTTTACAGACCCACTGGTGACCTCAGGGACTCGCATGCTAAGTGAGTCCACAACTTCTAACTGTAAGAAAGGACTGCAGTGTATGTTGTTACCTGATTTTGCAGCCTGTTCTCATATTCCTTCTAAATTGTACTGTGTGTCTGAGGAACTGTGAACAGCTTCCATCACTTTCACTCCTTAATATGCTCATCTGACAGACTGCACATCAAGAAGCCAAACTAAAGTATAAAGAGACAACATACAACACTCATCTTGTATTTAACAGTTCACTCACCCCCATACTCCTCCTTATCCCTATCAGGGCACTATAAAAGTCCAAACAGTGCAGTACCAGAAATTAAAAAAAACCCAGTGATAAACAAAAACTCATAGCAGAAAAAGGATACGTGTTGCATGACACCACTGTTGGCAATCAACAGTGGTGCTCCCGTGATATAGCCAGGGTTTCCACTTCTAGGCAACATATGAGAAAGAGTCCTGGTCTACAAAGACGCAAAGGGAAGAAATCGAAAAAGAGGAAAATATTAACACCAATGACATCCATTCATCTCCAAAGATCAAAATCACATTCTCAAAAGTGTAAATGTAAGCTGTGTTTTGAAAGACTGATTATTATACACTACTTAAACTATTGGTTTCCAAAGACTCTTACCTCACCAATTTAATTTGCAGTCCAGGATGTAAAAAACTAAATGTCAGTATCCTGAAATGTGGATAATACCAGGAAAGCTCTCAATACAATAAATTACTATTGTTCAACGTTTGTCTCTGAGGAAGTGAATATACGAGTCATGGCAATTCTTACAGAAGAACTGCAGAACAAACCCTGCCTTGACCGATTTTCAGTGGACCATTCCATTTCTAAATCACGGTATGCCAAGAGCCTCTTGTAACTTTCTTTCCTGCTACACAGGCAAAGTTAAGTAAGTACCTGGAATAAATTTAGTAACTTTGTTCACTAACACTGGACATGTCAGATACAGCCCTAGTTTCAACCCCTTCCTTCACAAGGCCATTCTGCTGACTTACGTCATTCTCTTCCCTTCTACCCCAACAATCAAACAAACAAAAACCAAGAACAACAAAACCCCCCCAAAAAATAAAGAAACCCCAAAACCCAAAACAAAACAAACCAAAAACCAAACCCCCTCAAAAAACCCAAACAAAAAAAACCCCAAACAAAACAAATCAAAAAAGTGCCAAAACGCCCCAAACAAACCAACCAAACCTAAAAACCCACCCTCAAAAAAACAACCAAAAACCCCCAAACAAACAAACAAACAAAAAAAAACACCTAAAACCTAACACCAAACCAAGAACAAAAATAGTCATATAAAAATAATCAGCTCCTTGAAATTTGTGCAATGAAAGACTGCATGCTTGTGCTGAGCCTGAATTTTTCCACTAGCATGGTTTACTTGAGACCAGAAATGCCTCCCCTCCTGTCTTCAACCACCTGCACCCCAGGGTTCTGTTACTACTATACCACAATGACACTGCTCTAACCTTTCCAGGTCTCATCTGCACAAAAATGAGTCGCAAGCTACAGACTACAAACTTGGTAAAATTCCAGGGAGGATAAGCATACTAACCCAGAAGTGCATGGTGAAGTGCTGCTGCAGAGAGGATCTGGAGTTCCCAGAGATGTTACTCACTTTGAACTGGACAGAAACACTCTGAATTCCACTTGTGCCACTATATTCTATATCATAGATCACCTGAAAATCCAATTTAGAGAACAATAGGAGACAGAGTAAGGTAATAGGGCAATGATTTTAGGCTTGTGTTAAGCTGCTCTAAAAGGGAAGAAGATTCACATACCTCAGAAACAACATTGATGCATGTGTTGTCCTTCATGTAGGGAGCTCCAGGTGGTGAGACTGCAGTGACATTTACCTGGAGATAGTAAGCATATTAACAATTGGTAATTATTTAAAAGGAGGGTGCATTTTTTACTCTTTTTCACTGCTTTTCCATCCAAGTCAGACTTACCTCTCTGCTGTAGCTGTGATGTAGGGGCACATCACACTGCTCCAGATCCCCAAACTTCTTCCAAGAAAATAAGCTACCTTCCTGACTTTAGTCCTATCTATGCCCATTCATTTAAAAATATACCCTTACTTATGTCTTTTGTTTCTATAATGTCCTACTTTAGTCAAGAAAAATCTTGTCTCAGATACAGCACATTCCCATTTTCCCTTCAGGAGCAGAAATTCTTTTCATTGGCAACAGAGACTGACCTTCATGGACTGCATAATGGTGTCATTAATTGGGACCTGGGGAAAATAAACAAACCATTTTACAATACCAATAAAAAGCTAAGTAAATTGCTGTGTTTGCAAGTGACTAAAGCCATAAAATCATTACAAAAGAACCTGAATATTATATTGACAAAATTACTTTGTTTATTCCAGATGTGAAAACTTGTCATCATTTTGTAATCTATAAATCACAGACATAGTCCACAGAAGGCATTTTAAAATACCAAAAGACAAATTTAAACTGGGCCCTGCTAATATATCCTCCTATTTACAATGTTGTTTTCTCTTGGAAAACCAGAAAAATTCTACAGGGTGAGAGGAGACATTTTCATATAAGCATTCAGTTAAGACCAGCAGGATGAACCTAGAACAGTAGATTGGTTACTATGAATTTATTGTCAGGATAAATAGTAGAGAAATTGATATGGATATAAATAGAGCTAATATTAATAAGGGGCCATCGGCCATCTATATGATCTTATTTACACTTTATGTAAAAAAACCACCCTAATTCTTTACTGCGAACATGTACTGCTTGGTTGATCAAGCTGATGGAACACACAGGAATACTTTGATAAACAATCTGTTTAAAATGCAAGAGAATTTTAGATGAACCACTAGGACTAGGAAGTATCAATGAAGTACCTGTTAAATACATTAAGAATTTGCTAATAACAGAAATTAATTGGAAAGTAGTTTAAATTGAAGGATTATCACAAGTCATGACATTTTTGACAGGTTTCCCAGCAAGAAGCTCTCAGCAATTTGAAGATCAGGGGTGACATACCGACTCCAGTTTTACAATTACTTGAAGTCCCAGTGGAAGGCAATGAAAAGTCAAACAACTAAGATTTTGAACAAAATCATGAAATATGAAAAGCACCTTTAGCACAGTGAAGTCACGGTAGTAGGAAGCAGCATCTAGGGCAGGGTCAGTCACGCAGCTCTTGCTCAAGTGGGCAAAAATCCGAGTACAGCTTGTGCTTTTACTGTCCAGGAAGCCTGGATGAGTTAAGACATGATAAAGAGATAAAACAGAAGCAAACCACCCTAAGATATTCTTCCCCCTTTACTAACCAGCAGGATTTCCATCAGCACAAAGTCCACTGGGTCCCATTTTCACTGGCTGTCTAAGCATGCTCAATATGGATGAAGAATCAAAGTAGATTAGGATTGGATCACCAGCCTGAAAAGACAATTAGGAGAAATCACAAAGTTACAGCAGAATACTAAAGCCAAGGGCAAGAGACAAATCTATACTTTGTGTACAGCCAACTTTGTCTAAAAGGTTGTCGAACCTCTTATATACAAGGCAACTGACTAGAAACTTTTTATACACTAAGGAATAGAAAGTATGGCGAGATAAACAGTTCAACAATGTGCTCTGGTGTACAGGAGGGCCAGTGTACTGTGTACACCCAGATGGGGTGCATCTGGCTCAGCATCACCTCTGAAGGGAGGCAATTGTTCCATTCTACCCTGCATGCTGATATAGCCTCACCTTGAGCCCTGAGAGCACTTTTGGGTGCCATAACATAAGCCATAAAGCTAAAGGAGAGCATGCAAAAAAGGTTTACAAAGATGATAAAGGGTCTCCAGGGGAAGCCATACAAGGAATGACTAAAGTCGCTTGGCTTGTTCAGCCTGAAGGAGGCTGAAGGAAGATCTCATTGTACTATGCAGCGTCCTCCCGAAGAGCAGCCACTGATCTCTGCTCTCTGTGACGAGGGACCCAAGGAAATTGCTGGAAGTGTGTCAGGGAAGGCTTAGGCTGGATATCAGGAAAAGGTTCTCCCACCAGAGAGTGGTTGGGCACTGAACAGCTCCTCAGGGAATGGTCACAGTCCCAAGGCTGACAGAGTCCAAGAAGCATTTGCACAACACTCTCAGGCACAGGGTGCGATTGCTGAGGCATCCTGTTCAGGACCAGCAGCTGGACTCGATGATCCTTTTGAGTCCCATCCAACTTGGGATATGCAATGATCCTATGATACTATGGTTTCTGGGTACAAAATAAGAATCTTTCAATCTGTTCTCATTAGACATCATTACAGACAGCTTTAGTAAAAGCATATGTGCAAATTGACTCCTATTTTCTTTCAACTCACACGGTAAAAAGCAGAGAACGATGGCTGAACTTGTGATGGTGCAAAGAAAGAGTGCCTGCCATACTTCTCTAAGAACTCCACAAAATTAGATTCTTCGATATCCTGTGGCTGTTGAAAATAGTTCAGCTTTGCTAGAGTTTGAAAAGAGGAAAAAAAAAAATCCACCAATATTAACTTACTGGAAAAGGTAATAGTAAATACTGTGCCAATATTTTTAAAAGGAACAATTTAAGTAATTTTAAGATAGCTGGTGCCTTACTTTAATCCATAGTAACACTTCTAATAGGTTAATATGATCTACAAACAGGATGATATCATGAGTACAGTTAATGGGAAACAGATATTAGTACACAAAGTGACTTTCCAAAAAGCCTAAGACTCCTTGACAGCTACCTTAATACATGCTGTAATTTCTGTGAGATGCCCAAATTAAACACACACAAAATTTTAATAACAAAGCACTACCCATTTGCGAGTTCATTAAAAGCAAAATTAAAAGGATTAAAAAAGATTATGTAAAACTGGCAGTTGGTAATACTCAAGATAAGTTTGAATAGACAATAGACATTCTAAAAAAACTTACTTTCTGTTGGTATCCTACAGTGATACCTTCCTGACCTGTGGTATTCAATGGTATGGTTATGACGCTATAATGTACTAATTTATTACTGCTAAAGCACTGTTATAAAATGGCAAACTATTAAAGGCATGCTACATAGACTCATCCTAATATGAATAACTTTTCAATGCATTCAAATAAAGAATCTTGGAAGATTCAAGAATTACATATCCTACTGACAACAGGAACAAGTGGCAGTATACTCAATTACAGTAGTGTCAAAAAGAATTTACATAATCCACTAGATTTTGGATTTGGAGAGAAAAAAGAACAGTAAAATTAGAACAGTAAAAACAGAACCTTAAGCTCTCAATATAGTTCTGCTGTTCAAGGGCAGAGCAGATGATCAAAGGTACAGCACAGATAGCAGAAACAAAAGCTTTTTAATATCCAAATACACCATGAATTAAGCAGACAACTAAATCGTTCAAGAAGAAAAAAAATCAAACGAATATTAAGCTCCCACAAGGTTCACAAAACCTTAGTTTTGTGTTTGAATGATGTATCATCATTAGACTGAAAAAGAAAACATTTGCATTTGTGCTACTCACAGCCATTTAATTGATTTGGGACCCAGTTCATCATATACTCTTCCATTATCAAAGCTGAATACTTGCTAATATATGTTAACAATATTACATAATGCAAAATACAGCTGAAAACTGGAAGGAAATACCTTCTTCAGGAAAACTTAAGAGATTCAAACTTTTTAAGTTTATATACTAAAGGGTATTTAATCTTGCAGAGAAAAGCAAAGCAGAATTTAAGCTGCTAGCAATAGTTCCAACGAGGTGAAGTCAACCTGTGCATCACTTTCACCAGCCCAGATAATTCATTAGGGCTAGATTAATCTCTGGCAATGGTAGCTCATCACACCATCTTGGAAAAGCTACTGCCACAATCAGTTGAATAAAATACGTGTTCCTATATTTCCATGGGAGAGGCCACTAGGGAGAAGGCTGTTTCTACCAGAAAACATGATCCTTCAGGTGATCCCAAATAAAGTCTTCCCCATACGTTCTTCCAACAACAATCACAGAAAACGAAAAGGCCATGTGAACAGTGAATTCTGTTCTCAGGTGTGCTACAACTAACAAATACATGCAGTCAAATGTTTAGGCCTCTTCAGTGGGCCTAATTGTGATAGACACATGGCCCAAATATCAAATGACTAAAAAAATTGGGTGCCATCTGGACATCTGGACACATATGATCCTTTCTGTGCATAACATTAAAAATTCAGAATCCTTTTAGTCTTACTTTTAGGATATTATGAGTGGTGTGGGAAATGGGTAACATTTAGATTCCAAGTTGCAGGCTGAAAAGCCCAGGAGCCTGACAACACTTTAAGTTGTGTTTAAAGCCTTATCTAAATTCATCTTTACTGCGAGACAAACTGAAAATTGGAATGGGTAAAGTTCTAGCACTACTACCTATCATGCTATATATTATGAAGCTCTCATAATTTCTTTGTTCTTCCTTGTATGCAAAGGACTCAGGCAAAATCTATAAAGAGCTGAAAGCAGGACAAGTCAGTAAAAAGCTAACATTGTTTTGACTAGCTGTTGTACCTGTTCATCTCCTGAGTCCCTCCCAACCTAAAATACTCAAGATTTAGGTCAGAAGCAGGCAGAACTGTGGGTCACAACTCCCAGACAATAACTCAAAAATGTGAAACCACAGCAATTGCACTGAATGCCAGAAACAGGACTTTGAATCACTCAAATGTAATATAATGTGGAAAGCAGAAAGAGAAAAGAATGTTAATGGCATAGCCTACAGGATATATGATTACCAGTGAAAAAAATCATCACCAGCAGAGAAAAAAGGATGAAAATAAGCATATATAATAAAGAATCCAAGACACAATAAGAAAACACTTTCTGAAAATTATAGTAGTGGGATACTTCAAACATCAACCCTTATCTGCTCCTCTACATGTAGCCGACCATGTAAGGTATCTCAGATACATAAGCAGTTGATAAAGATTTGTGTTCAGCCAGAAACCCTACCCTTAATAACAGTGTCTTTGGTGATTCACTATGGTCTGACACTTTAACGGCTAAAATAATTAGCAACAGTTATAACATATAGTTCAAAAGAATATTCCCTAAGCAGAGGCAATCTATAAACAAAATGTGTGAAAGATTGCTTACAGTCATCCAACTGCACACAGAACAGCAGATCATGTCCACCAGGATCAGAAGCGATGTTTGTAGAATAAGGGATGTTACTTCTGAAAATGAGTGACTTTTCCACACACATTTGACTCACAGACCTGTAAAGACAACACCCCCGCCCAGCTATAAAATGGACCATAATTGCATAATTTCGTGTTTTACATTACATAATGCAAACAACACAGTATGACTTTTCATCAGTTTAGATGAGCTGTTGTACAATCTGCATCGATAATCAATTACAGAAGGCCTCTCTTGTCATTGTAGTAACTTTGTGGACACTCGGTTAGTGTAATTAGAAATCACTTTGGAAGAAAAAGTGATTAAAAACAAAATCAGTGCCCATATATTACAGCTCTTTTCGGTCCTCTTCACGAGGGCAATCTGCAAAGATTAGATTATACTCCCTAATAGCTGAGACCGTCTTCCTCACTGACAGCATCTCGCGGTCTGTATTTGTTTGACCGCCTCCTCATAGCACTCCGAAGCTCCTTTTTCTTAAACCCAGACTTCCCAGCTCCCACCGCCAGCTGCCTCCTCACGGAGTAGCCAAGCCTCGCTTCATCTCGGCCACGGCGCTGTAGGCCCCGGGAAGCCTTTGCAGTCCCGGGCCGGCGTTAAGCTGTCCCGGGCCCGGGTGCGCGGCAACACCACGGCCAAACACAGGCGGCCAAGCCACAGTTCCCGCTTGGGAGCCCGGCCCGCGCCCGGTCTCCTGGCCCGCCTCGGCCCGCTCCAGCGCCAGCAGCGGCAGAAACCCATCCCCTACCCACCTGCTGCC